ATCTTTGTTAGGGTTAATTAATCGATTTTTGCACATAATTAATTGTTGTATGATATTTCATTTTCTCGTTCGTCTAATCATTTATCTAACTTGTATGTATCCAAATGGCTATGATTGTGTTCAATTCTTTGTGTTAAAGATTATTTGAATTAGCATAGTTGTCATGTCGTATATAAAGGTGTTATCATTTTAGTCATTTTAATGTCGTTTTGTGAGATTAGTAGCTTATTCATTCATAATCACTGATTTCATATTAATTGCATCATCATATTGTTGTTTTCTTGTTTAAATATACTTAAATACTCGTGTTCTTATGTTGTACAGTTATTATGTATTCAATCATTGTAAATTGGATTTGTAGCATTGTGTTACATATTAAGAAACCATAGAAGCGTGATTCTAAATATTTTTGCACTTACCAAATTTAACTTTTGAGTCTTATAATCTCGTTTGTACAATTTAGTGTGTGGTTGTTAGTTGCATTTAGTAAGTTAGTTATCGACAAATTATCATGAGTTCTGATTTTTCATGTGTATATTCAAAGCTTTATCATTGAACTTATTTTCATTACAGAAATCATATTCGTACTTAGCATATAAGGTATTTTACAAGATTGTATACGTACTTCACTCGTGTCGATTTGTGTCAATGTGTTATTCTATCATTTCAACATGGTTTGATTAATTTGTTTGTAAATACAGCAGTCTTGTAATTGTTGTATCAATTTAAATTCCATTAGATTTTTGCAATATAGAAATAGTTGAAAGATTTACACTTTCAAGGGGGGAGAATGTTGAGGAGAGTTATTGTTTATATTTCTGATTGTGTGTTTCATTACGTTATTTTATTAACTAATTATTATAAATGCTATATTTCATATGTAGTTTTAACTTAGAGTTGTGAAGTAGCAAACATGCATTCTCTTAGGGCAGTTGTCGGCTTTTAGCGCCGGTAACAGAGTAATAAACCATCGTCCTTCTGCGAAAGGACGGGCCCTTCCTCACCACTTTTAGAAAGTTGCAACCCCAATCGAGGGTGAGGAAGGTGTCTTTTATTCAGTCATAGTCAGTGTCTCAACTAGCACCACATTGTCAAGTTCGTTTGGCATAGTTTTCGTATAGGACGTGTGAGGCAGATCCCTCCACGTATTTCATTAGTCTTAATTCGCATTCAATAGTACATTCACATTAGTTTTTCGTTATAGCATTTTAGTCAATCATTTATACAGTCCACTTATATCATCACATCAATAAATTCATAGTTCGTTTTTAAAGTGTTAGTTCTTTATTATTTCCATAACATTGGCGTACCAACACGCGCCGCAACAATATTCTTTATTTTTCATACATCAAACAACACACTAAAACTATTATTTGTTTTTAACCAAAAAACAATTTTAAAAACATCTGACTGTTTATTTATCTATATAAGAAAACAGTCTTTTGGCAAACAAATAAGAATATTATATTGAGGTGTTTTCTTTGTAAATGATTTATCATCGTACGTCAAACCAAAACAGCCTAAGAAAAAAAACCAGAAATGTTCAAGTTAGCCAGTTTTTAAATCAAAATTGTTGTTGAATTGAGCCACTGATAGATTGTGCTGATGAAATGACTGATTTTTAATGAATATGCAGACTTTTTAATACAAGTCAAACTGATATAATGACATATTGTAAGCTATAACATCTCTCGCGTCACATCAACTATCTCAGTGACAATCGAGCACTGTGTGTGATTAGCTCATTCAACTTAGGTTCTTTATTAATAAAAAAATTGGCAACAGCTGTTCCAAATAGTTGGGATGTCAGTATAAAATTAGTCTATAAATAGCTGATACACAATCTATATAAATAAAATTAGAGTTTTGTCTGTACATTGCTCAGAATCATAAACTTTTAGGTTATTTTTACGTTTTATACATTAAATAAGCCGAAACAAGTCTCATCTAAATTTCTGTCTGTCTGTAACACTCAAGATGGCATTTTACGCAATCTTCTCCAGGAAAACGACAGTACCTATCAAGATCCAAGTCATTTTAGTGTATTCATTGGATTGGCGAGAGTGTCTTTAGCCATTAAAATGTGGCCTCACTACTTAGTAAATAAAATTACGGACGTTCAAAAATGCAGTTTTGTGCGATTTTTGTCAAGTTTTTGTCCAATTTTTATCACATAATGATCTATGAAATAACAAACAGCTGTTCGGATCAAGATTATTTTTTCTAGATGTCACTGATATGTTTACAAATGTTGTTTACAAATACCGCAACCAATTCCGATCACGTTTTGAAGGCAAATCCCATCCAAGTGAGATTAAAAACGTTTTTCTTACATAACGGATTTAATTAATCGCAAGTGGAATAATACAGTGCAACCGTATATGAAATTAAATAACTAGGCATCATCCAGGTCAGGAAGCAGGAGATTCTTTGTGTATAAAATTGTTCTCGAGTTTTGATAACCAGAGAGAAGACCTTGAATCAGTGTTGTATAGGGCTGGGAAACTTGAATTTATTAATGATCGTCGCCAATAGCTTACAAACAAGGTTTCCACTCATTGACGGCGCTTCGATGGCGGTTGTGTAAAGTAAAAAATCACAACTGCAGTGGGTGATTGTAACAGAGGTTTACGGATGATGATAAACTCGCTTTTCCAATGACTGTGTCACTTTCTGTTCCTACTCACCGTGTGATAGCTGGACCTTACAGCCAATAGGCCCATAGCCCATCTCTTGGGTACGTATTATAAATTACCAATCTAAATCGTCTATAGTACTTCATTTCATATAGTAAGCCGTCATTTCGACAGCATTTCGGGTCATCTCCGAACTAAGCAAATATAAATTGTTATGATAAAATTTGATGACATTAACAAAGATTTCATAAATACTTATTTTATAGGTATGTACTTTGTTAGGTATGCTTAAAGCATAGCAAATTCCCTAATTAAATTCTGTATTTTTGTGTATATGTCTATTGGTGACGCATTAATATCCTTATTTCTCAGTGTTTCATGGAAAGGACAAGAGCACATTTGATGATAAAAATGTCAACCGGAATAAAGTGTTAAATGTCGAGGTTCAGGTAGTACTTTAACCAATGTGGAAAGTAACTTTCAATTATAGGCCTACCTTAGGGATATGCCTCATAGATCTATAAAATGTATATTTTAGTTTAATCATTGGATTTAACATATGGACCAACACGATCCGGGTGACATTTAATTGCGTTTGTTTTGGCTTGAAACTGTCAGATACTGTATTTGCTAAGGTTTATATATAATAGTTTTGCCAACATATCTGAAAATATGCAAACCAACTGCTGTTCTTAATACAAGAAGGTTTCAACTGAATACTATAAGATCCCCGTGCGTAGAACGGGCACACAGCTAGTGAAAACTATAATACAACCGGCCACACACAATTTTTATTTCAGGATTAGTTTTGCAACAGTGTCATTTGGAGGCTTCTGATTGACTATAATGAAGGATAACTAATTGAAAAATTAGTTCTGTTCATAAAAAAAATTATAAATGCCTAAAATTATTTTTTTAATTATAAAATTAAACTGTCATAAACTAACCAGACTTGCTGATAATAAAAAATCAAATGAAGGTTTAATCAAAAAAATTGTTATTTTCATAAAATAAAACTATAAATGGCTCAAATTCAATTTTATAATGTTTTAATTATAAAATTAAACTGCCTCAACCTAACCAAACCAACCAAACTTGCTGATGATGAAAAAAAATCCTACACAAAAAGTAAGTGTCACTGGTGGGATTCGAACCCGGCTCCTTCTTTTTATCAGCCCGGCAATCTATCCACTATATCACGGAGGCAGATGGCGTCAAACCATATCGTTGCGCTAATGGTGTTCCCTCAGCCAATCAGAAGCCTCCAAATGACACTGTTGGCAAAACTAATCCTGAAATAAAAATGCAGCACCCCCCACACTGATTTACAACATCTGCCTGTTAGGCCGGGCGCGCACTATCCCGACCACGACCACGACCACGACCAAACGCCCGACCAGTGGTTGTCATTCACCATGCGACCAGAGCACGACCCGACCACGACCCGACCAAGGCAACGAATGTTTTACAAACTTCAGTGTCAAGATGATTGTTGAAGAAGTAGTTGTTATGGTGCATTTGTATTGTAAGTACGTTAAGCGGAAGAAGACACTATACTGGGTATATCCAATGTTAACTGTTAGGTCTGAAAGGGCATTTTCCTACATTTTATGAAGAGCTACGTCAATATGAAGACAGGTTTCAAAAGTGACAAAATCCTGTGACATTTTACCAAATGAGTCACTTCACAGACCGGCGCAAAAAACTAGTGCTCACCGTTTGATTGATCTAGGAATACTGGGGGTTGAGTGGTGTACTGGTCGGGTCGGAGGCAAGTCGGGGGTAGTGCGCGTCGTCCCATAACATTGTGTGCTATTTTTGGCTGCAACGACCAGCGGGTCGGGCCCGACCAAACTGAAAAATTTTGGTCGTGCGACCAGGGCCCGACCAGGGTCCGACCAGTCGACTAGTGCGCGCTGTTCCATTTATTCCTATTATAAAACTGGTCGCATCCGACCAGTCGGAGTCGTGGTCGTGGTCGTGGTCGGGATAGTGCGCGCCGGCCCTTAGGCGGGAACAGACACCTGCTGACCGTGTCACTAATGAAGCGATGGTGAGATATTGCTGCAAGAAAACGAGTTTAAAAATTAATAGTTAATCTGCAGGCCCTTTTTTATTTTGGTTTAGAGGTTTTTTTAAAGGAAGATTAGTAATTTGTTAGTACTTTTAAAAGGTACAGAGATAAATTTTGTAGTTTTTGCCACCTGAATTGATGAGATTAATAGAATAAGTTTACAGTTACAACTAGTAGACTGACATGATCTGTAAATGTTCATTATAAATTTGGCAAATGAATTAGGCCTACTATGAATTTATCAAATAAACAATAAGATATTAGGGAAATTAAAAAATAACCAAAATAAGTAGATTGTGATAAGTATAATCTTTTTGACAGACAGATAAAAATAAATGAACAACAATTGCAAAGTCTTCCATGTTGAGAATGGAGTTTCGTTATTATAAAGTCCAACATTTTGTACCATCTATTACGTATTACGATGACAGTTTTCAACATTTACACAGTATCGACCACAAACAGTACCGATAGTTCAAACTATAACAGTATTACAAAATACCATTTGGGTTAACAATTTAAAAACAATCCAAAAATAGGCAGTAAAATTTATCAGGATTTTACAAAATTCTAGGTCACAAATCGGACAGGAATCACAATGAAATATTAAAACGAATTTGTACATTGAATCACACTACATTTACAATTGGGCCCAGTCAAACTACCACTCGTATTTATTTACACTGTGCGTATTTACATGTATTTACAATCATGACTGGCCCGAGTCTTCTGTCCTCGTATCTACATTGTCCGTTGTGTCGTCTGCATCGCCAGACCCTTTGTGTCTTGGACCCTTCATGTTGAGGTTGACGGGAGTGTTGCGGATGTTGACGACACATTTGAAGGGGCCACGAGGGGTTGGGTCCTCCTCACCCTCAGAAGAAGTGTCCCCAGAACTCATCATATGTTGAGGCATCATCTCGTTGGGATCCCACTGTCCCAGCTTAGATGGGTCCTTCTCATACAACTTTTGAGCCAGGAGCTGAAAAAACCGTATTAAAATCATTTATAATTTTTTTTAACCAGTTTTTTATTCTATAGACAAATTGTCCAGTACAGTACACTCCCAATTAACCGAGGTTGTTGGGACCGAGACTACCTTGGTTACCGAGAATCTCAGATAACACGGAGGGGTCTTAGATTTTGAGGTTAGGAGTTACGGTACCACATTAGGAAGTCAAAGACATGTAAAGTATATGGTTTAATAAAGCATATCCTACGTACGGGAATTCAGTAGTCAGTTAAAACCACGTTAAAACCGTGTACAATTCAGATCAGCTAGTTTACACATATAAAGACAAAGTTTCTTGCAGTTTTAATGTGAAAAATCATCTTGTAAACAAATTTTGTGTGACCAAAAATGTTTTTATTCCATCATAGACCTATACGATATGCATTTTAAATCCGATAATTTTACAATAAAACAGCAATTCTGCAATTTTTATGATGTGAAAAGCGTTGAAGTGAGATTTGCAGCCGATTCGCACAGACGCACACTGATTATAAGTAGCCTACAGTAGAGAGAGTAATAGTCAATTGAGAAGTGTATAGATAGACCTAGTCAACGATACCAACTTCCATAGCATACCTGCCTCTTCCATAATTATTATCACCACAATACAACTACTATACACAATTTCCAGTAGGTCTGAATAGAAACGACCTAAAATAAAACGATAATATCCAATAAAATTCACAGTACACATAATTTAACTTTGGTGTCCTAACATCAAAACTAATCGTCACACCTATCCTTTTAGTACAGTAAAAATATGTTTTGACCCAAAAAAAATTAGCACAACCGGGGAATTTGGTACAGACGTTGGGTGTACCTTCCTTTTGAACATACTAAAAGTCCCCTAAAATTGAAGCTGTGCTACGGCCGCCATATTGGAAAATGGCGGCATATTTCTGTATTTTTCGCTATAGTGACTTTATTATTAGAGATACATGAGAAAGCTAAATATACAAAATGTAGGTCATCTAAAAATACACATTTTTTGTATTTACCAACTTTCTCTAAACCCAACGGTTTTTGAGTTATTTGTTATTAAGTATATTTAGTTTTTTTCGATTTATCAAAAATAGGTGAAACACATGGAAATTGACCGTTACTTTCAAGGATTATGATAATTTATCATATTTAGTTAAATAGTGTGATACTATAAAATCTTAAAATTTAAGCTTATTTCATGAGTAAAACAACTCCGCCACAGCAAACCTGCAGACTCAGCAAATTTCCATTTGATTGGATGTTTTATTAATTGTATTTAAATAAAATTAGATTCAACAGGTACCTAGGTTTCTTGCTACAGGTAGGTTATTACAGTGTGTGTTTTTTTTTAGTAAAATATCAATACCTTACTATAAAATAACTAATTTTCCAAGTTTGATCAAAATATATCTATAAACAAGCAAACTGCAACAGTTAACTAATTCACAAGAATAGCATGGGAGTTTTAAATTTGCAATAAACAAATTTGAATATACAAATTTTAGTTGTGTTTACTTAAAAGATGGCGATTATTCGTCACGATTAGAATATTAACCAAATGGGGTTTCAAAAGGAGATGGAGCCTGTTATTTAAGTAATATTAATTCGTACCAAGCACCGAAAATGTTGTATGCAGTAAGGTAATCTACCATATTTTGTAAAGTACGCAATAGCCATATTAATATTTTATCTTCATTTTTACCCATTTAATAGTTAACATTTTAGTATTTTGATGGCACCACCACACTAACTAACTATACTTGACATCCCATTGTAAATTTGGAAGGGTGTTTTTCGTGTCTAGTTCATGTTGGTGACTAATTAAGTATGGTATAGTATGGTTAGTTTTATTTATCAAAAATCGGTGAAACCCATCGCAATCGACGGTTACTTTCAAGGTTTACGACAATTATTCATCCCACTTAGTTGATATCAGAGTGATAGTGGTAGTGCCATCAAAATGTTAATTTATTAAATGGGTAAAAATGAGTATAAAATATTAACATGACTATTGCGTAGTTTACAAAATATGGTTGATTTCCTCACTGCATACAATATTTCCGATACTTGGTACGAGTTAATATTACAGTACTTAAATTACTTGCTTCATCTCCTTTTGAAAACCCCTTTTGTTAGTATTCGAATCGTGACGAACAATCGCCATATTTTCAGTAAACACAACCAAAATTTGTATATTTAAATTTGTAAATTGTAAATCTTAAGCTACCATGCTATTATTATGAATTAGTTAACTGTTGCAGTTTGTTTGTTTATAGATTTATTATGATCAAACTTGGAAAATTAGTTATTTTATACTAAGTTATTGATATTTTACTAAAAAATAAACACACTATAATAACCTACCTGTAGCAGCAAACCTAGGTACCTGTTGAATCTAATTTTATTTCAATACAATTAATAAAACATCCAATCAAATGGAAATTTGCTGAGTCTGCAGGTTTGCTGTGGCAGAGTTGTTTTACTCATAAAATAAGCTTTAATTTTAAGATTTTATAGTATCACACTATTTAACTAAATAGGATAAATTATCATAATCCTTGAAAGTAACGGTCAATTTCCATGTGTTTCAACTATTTTTGATAAATAGAAAAAACTAAATATACTTAATAACAAATAACTCAAAACCCGTTGGGTTTAGAGAAAGGTGGTAAATACAAAAAATGTGTATTTTTAGATGACCTACATTTTGTATCTTTAGCTTTTTCATGTATCTCTAATAATAAAGTCACTATAGCGAAAAATACAGAAATATGCCGCCATTTTCCAATATGGCGGCCGTAGCACAGCTTCAATTTTAGGGGACTTTTAGTATGTTCAAAAGGAAGGTACACCCAACATCTGTACCAAATTCCCCAGTTGTGCTAATTTTTTTTAGGTTTAATGAATTTTTCTCTTATTTTTACTGCACTATTTATATCAATTTCACTGCATTAATTTCTAAATAAATAAGTGTAAACAAAGAAAACTTAAAACAATAACAGTTTGTTTTGAAACAGTTGTTTGGTCCAAATAACATTCATTTGAAAAATAGAACTGGTAACATGTAGCAGGAATATAAAAAGTAAACACGCTAGTAAAGCTAATGACGTAATTGACAATGTTTATTATACATACCGTTATCAGTTCTATCCTTAATAATTGCCCACCCTCATTGAATAAGTGTACATCGTAGTTTCCCATGTTAGTTAATTTAAACTACAACATATTCATAGTTGAAATAAAAGTGATATTTTCACGTTTGGGGGCGCTGATTGGCAACCCCAAACGTAACCACACTGAACACGATTTCATAAAAGGATGGTTAGGTCAATGTTGACGTTGTGTTCAATCTTTGTATAAAACTCGGCTGAGGTTGTGGTGGTAATTTAAAATCGTGATTCCTGATTATTCTTAATCTTCTTTTTATGACATCAATATTTCCGGGCCTAATCCAAACAAAGTTAAAGCAGACAAACATTAATTGTAAACAAAAAGCTACCATGAAGAATTAAAATATGTAAACATTGTTATTTTTCTATTCTTTCCTCAAAAAGTGGAATAGTAAAATAATTTGTATTTATCCTTTTTTATTAAGACTCGTGTACAGAGCCTCGATTTGTACTGTGGTTTAATTAATTTTGGTTTGTTAAACCATTTTAAACTGTGGTCTAACTATCTCTACTAATCTTACTTATTTCCTATAATCAATGACAAAATAAGAGTAAATAAAATAACCTCATAGTTCCATAGTGTATATTTAACCAGCTGTTAGTTAAAAAAATTATATTGCTCTAAAGCAAATCAAAGATTACAAAGATTGCTTTAAAAAAATAATTTGAACATCCTAGTATTTTACTATGTATATTTTAATTAATCTGTCATCCTCTTACAGAAGAATTGAACGTATCAATGATTTGCATTACACATAGTATATATAAATAAGTCAACCCTAAGTATGTCTTTACATTTCTATCCAAATGCTGAATTTGTGACACAAAAGCTGAATGTTTACAGCTGTTATGTTAAGCAAATTATTTTATGCCAAAAGCTAGTTTAGAATCTTAGCGTCGGCTGCTAGACTTTTTAAAAATTAAAACTTAATTTCTAAAAAACTGGGATCCTAAACTAAAATTATGGCTTCGACATTCCCTAGTTCTCAAAATTATCTTTCTTTCAACACAAAAATCATTAAAATCCGTCGAGTGGTTGATTCAGAATCGTGAAATAAAAAAACACAGTTTCGTTTTAATATTATAGATGTATTTAAATAAGGAAGTGTTATTAAGGAATACAAATAACATGCTTTTCTTAAATTGTTTTGGAAAACTTCAAATACAGTATCATTATAAAATGATACCAAGCCAACACTCTACAGGGTTAAATAAAAACACAATAAGGTGGACCCCTAAAGTTTTTAAAGTATAGAATATTTTTTTAAATTTGACTTGAACTATACTTTATACAATAATGTGAATATTAAAACATTGTAGGCTAATGACAAACACTGACAAAAGGCGATACGAGCCGGCAAAGCTGCAATGCCCGAGCAGAAATGCTACTGCTTATGTTGACGTTCTGCAGACGACATGTCTTATACGTTAAAATAATACCTATAACGATTATAAGTATAATTTTATGAAAACACAAATTACATGCTATTTTTGCTTTACTTTCAACAGAAACATTATTGTTTTTATTGTTTTCCTACCGGAAATAAAAATTATATATATTTAGGCCTGAACCGACCTCGGATGACCGGGGCTCGGATAATCGAGAGTGGTACTGTACCAGGGATTTGAGCAAACAAATCAATAAACTTGTTGTAAACATTCTAAATTATCCCCCCACAAGTTAAGGTAGCCAACTCATAATTTAATTCAATATACATCATCAACACAAAATACGAAAATACTATATCACAAATAAATCTTAGACTAAATAAAATTTATTTCAAACTCTACACTGTCAAAGAGTTTGGTTAAATAAAACCTATATGCTGCTCCCTGATTCCATTAAGTGACCACAATTTGTAAGCCTACTATGTGAATAAATAATAATTGAAGTAGCTGCAAACCATGGACATGATTTTAACGTAGTGATCCAATTTTGTTGCAACTTGCAATACATAAAACCAGTTAAAGAAGGTCTACTACACGCTGAAATTGGAATTTACCCTTTTTTCCTTGACATAATTAAAGAAAAAAAATAACAATATGAAGTTGGTGATTCATCCCTTGTCAGAAAATAATCAGATAACCTAGTGTTTAAGGTTCGTATTGTTTAGTGATTTATTAAAAATCGTTCAACATTATTTTTATTGATTGTTTAAGTTTTTATCAATCATAAATGATTCGAAAAATTGTTGAAGATATTCAAGGAAATTATTGTGACTGTTAGATAGGACCGAGAAATCTTACCTGCAAACTCTCCAAGGAGTTGTCACAGTCAGTGGTGTCAATGTCGTTCATATTGACCCCAGACCGTTCCATTTCAGCGTACGTTCCAAACGGAAGTTTGCCAAGACATTCGAGTTTCATGATATGCATCTTGGAGCGTAAGTGCTTGGCAAGGTGTCCGTGGATGCGGAACGCAATCTTGCAATCATCACACTTGAATGGACGAGGGTTCGCAGTCGTGGCTGTTCCAAACGTCGAGTTCATGCTGACCTAAAACGTTGATAATATGATTATTTGGTTAAAATTGTAGTGATTATAACTTTAAAATTATTTAATTAGCTTGGACAAAGAATGATTTACGTAAATTGTACCTCCATGCTTTCAAGAATTGGAGAAGAAAAAACAAAGTATTGTTTGTTTGTTTCATCAAACGCTAAATGACAGAATTGGGTGTGAACATTGGAATGAATTGAGCAGATAAATCTAGATTAAACTTCAAATTTTGATACATTGCCTTACTTTGAGGTGTCTATACTTTGACAAAATGTTTAACATACAGAAAATATTCATCATTGATTGATTGATTGATAAATACACTCTAAAAAAACAAATCTATTAATAGTGATGAAAGAGCTGAACCAGATTTGTCCGTCCGGAATTGCTTTTACTCACCAATGGCCTTAACAAATAAACTTCAAATATATTTAATTTTTTTACTGTAAACCGCTTGTTACCATGGACTAGTCTGTCTGGTGATGTAGGTCACATAGGTAAACTAGTGAATGATAACAGCAGTGATAAGAAGTTGATGAAACCAACAAAGTCTGCCTTGTCAGCCCTAACCAGTACTGAGCCGACATTCGGTAAATCCACATCAACTGACCTTGTTGAGGTGAGAGAGGCTTCGCTGGTGTTTCTGCAGATGACCTTTAGTGCGGAAGCTGACCGCGCAGGCTTCACAACGGAACGGCCGCTCAAAGTAGTGGATGTTGACGTGAAGCCTCAGCTGGCTCGGCTTGGAGAACACCTTGTTACAAATATTACACATGCTGCGGCCGTCCTCCAGAATGCTAGAGCAAGAGTTTCTATTGAGTAAAATGTGTAATTAAAAGTATAACTGACATGACAGCTATGTGTGCATATCATTTGAGCAATCGCCTTTATACTGTAAAGTTGTGGTTCTCAGACTTTCTATTGCAACAATAACTGCAAGTTTTTAAATTAAGACGTGGACGTTATAACTCTGGAGCCCCATTCCCAGGACTTAACTGTCATTTTTAGCTATAAATTTACACAGCCTAAATATACATTTCACATACATTACATAAACAAAAGAAGAAAAACAGGAATGTTTTAACAGTTAATGTTTATTAAAGGAATTTTAAAGTAAAAATTGAGATCAAATCAAATTCAAAATTCAAATATATTTATTTGTGATAATACAACATCTTGGCCTCGCCAAGTTTACTAAACTTGTCGGCGAGGTCCAATTTGTAACATTCTGAAAGATGAATCATTGTCTTATTCTTACATTTTTTTTACAAATCTAAGTTCATATTCGTGAAAATGTTTCACACAAAAACGAGAATTGTTTTAAGATTGACCGATGAATAGCAGGAAGCTATTGTTGCTTACGCGGCAGATCACATAGGATCTTAGAACACTGTATGTATTATTCATTTTTAATTGAGCTTTCGTAATTATTCTTGCATCCAGCCATATCACATTTATCTGGCATGCTGTAGTAACAAGTTCAATGGCATTACTAATTATTAAGCGTATTAGAAACGCGATTATGTACGTCTCCTCCATTCACTGTAATGGTAAGTCGACCACGCACCAAGACACGGATGCGACGTTGCCACTTTTCGCTCGCCGCAGCCTTGTATTAGAGGTGGCTGTGATAATGGCCATAAAAGTAAATTAATTTATAGCAAAAAAAATAGTTTTTTATGATGGTCGTGACAAAATTTCGTGTTTTTCCATCAAAGATGCTCTATTAATAAAAAATCACCAAAGATATTGCGTTACCATGGACATTTTATGAAACTTCAAATGTTAATGAAATAAAAAAAAAATAAAAAAAGTTTCAAAAAACTAAACAAAAAATTTTAAAAGTGCTTCTCCTGAAAACGTGCGTTTTTAAATTTTCACTCCATAACTGGTAAACTTCATAAACAATATTACTGTTCTATAAATAAGTTAGGTAATGACTTTGGAGTTGAGTACATTAACCCTCCACAAATGACTTTGATTTTAAAACTTGAGAGATGAAGTTTTTTTTTCTCTGGAAAAAGAAATCGTTGACAATGGAAATATATGTTCGTATTTATTTTAATTGATGGGTGTGAATATTAATTTAACTGTAAAATAATGCAAATAATAACAAAAAAAACAAGAGGTGACACCCAGAACTGAACTCAGGTAACCAAGCAGCGTGAGAGGTGAACCACGGTGGTGGTAGTGGGGCCTGTGAAACGCGACTATGTCTAGGGGTGGGTTTTTGAGAGAGAAATGAGGTCAAGTTGGTTACTAAGATGCAAGCGAGGTACACAGTGACTGATGACCAGCAAAAACACATAACTAAAAAATACAAGCGCTCAGAGGAAAACGATGCAAATTCATCTTTCAAGGGCGAATTTGTTCATCTCAACAATGGATGAAATGGATAGTAGTGACTGATCGTTGACCCACCTGACGTAGCTGGGGGAAGGTCCACTAGAAGGAGGTAGGAACTCAGCCTGAGGTTTGTTGGAAGACGCTGATGTCACGGGAGACTCATTAGCAAGCGTCTTCCTTGCGTCAGATGTTGTTTGAGCCAGTATTCCCAGAGCGTTCTCCTTGGCCACGGATATGTTGTGGTTAGTGTGAGGGACCTCTATTGGCACAGGTTTGTGTTTGTATTGGTGTTGTTTCATCCGTGTATCCTGCACAGCTCTCTCAGTAAGGTAGGCTTGAAGCAATGTAGAGTCTTCACTGACTGCAGCTGTGGTTGTGGTTATGGGCAACCGCTCCATGGTGGAACACAGAGAAGCTAACAACATGGCCGCATCACACGCTCGCGTGTTCTTTTCTGCAAAACAATTTTAAAGTTTAGTTAGTTGAATGATTGAGAAACTTATACCAGGTTTCTTTTCAACATAAACTATTGACTTAAATCACTGAAACATCTTTTATAATAAAAAAAAAATCAGTGTCTAGCAATAAGTTTGGAAGCTGAAGGTTTTCATGCAAACACATTTCCTATCACAGTATAAAAGGGAAAAAAATATTCCTTAGATAAGAGTTTGAATGTACCGGGTTTCTACAAGAGCGCTGTACAACTTTGTTTTGTAATAAAACATATAGGTACCATTACAATTGTGCATATTAACATATATATATAACAGCGCACGGCACAATAGGGTGCACACAATGCAACAACGTGATGATTAAATTCCCCCCATCAGATATCATTTTGTTGTAAACCTGAAAAAGAGCTTCCCATAGTTGTATTTAAATAGAGATATTTTTGTATGGTAGATGATATTTAACATTAATTAAAAAGTTACAGCCTTTAAAATGTTAGGCCTACTAATCTTTTGTGGACACACGGTATTACTTCAGAATTTAACTCGATGTCAAATTGGCCAACATTCTGTTGAGAGCATTCCTATCTACCCACGCACCGGTGGGTTTGCTGCTAAGGTCGATCGGTGTGGACTGCTTGGACACTGTAGGCTCTGGTTCAGAGTCCCCTGAGTCTCTGCTTGAAGGGAAGTAGTACCTAGCAGCCACACCCTTCTCCCCTACATTGCCCGTGGGCTCCTCCACTGCTCCCTTGGCTTGGACCCTGGCCAGACCTGTATTCTGGGAGACCTAGAGACAGATCAAATGAACCCATTAACATCAACATTGTAGTCATAAGCAGGAAAAAGTCCATGAAAAATGTTCCTTTCTTTTCTGAAATCACTGCTGTTTGATTAAGAATCTCAAAGGGTTGAGAAAATTTTTAATTTCTGATGTAATTACTATTGCAAATTTAGGCTAATTAATTTATACAATGTCCATTTAATCGTGTGATGTATATAACTTTGTTTTGAGTTATTTCGGAATAAACAACCAGTTTAATGATGTTACTAAAAGTTTTTGAAGACTAAAAGTTCTATATCCAAAAGTCGCAGAGCCTCACCTTCTCCCTCTCTCGCTGGGCACTGATGGCAGTAAGTGTAGGTGTCTGTGGCTGGGTGGGCACCTGGGAGTAGCTGTAGGGGTAAGTGCAGGGTCGTCCACTCACTGGGACTAGACCTGCGCTGACCTGCTGCCGCTGAGCTACTGACTGCAGTGTCTCACTGAGTGTGAGGAGCGAGCGAGCTGCTTCCCTCTCTACACACTCATCCCCCTCTCCTTCCCCCTCGTCTGGGAAGAGAAAAGTATATTGTTAATTGTACTACCATCATTAAATCTGTGATTGTTTTACGGTGTTCATAAAATATATCAGGCCAATACATATTTTCAACTATTTTCAACCTAGGTAAACATCGTTAAAAGCTGCCTCCAACACATTAAGGTTTATATTAGTTTGATTTGTTCTTTTGTTGTATTTTAATGATATTCCATGTTATAATTTTTTTTAGTAGTACCGGTATTATGTGGAATAAATCATTCATTCATTTATTCATTTGTCATTAGAGTAAGAACAACAGATAGATTTTAAGATACAGTCTAACCTTTATATACGAACCTCGATATAACGAATTCCTTGATCAGGGTGTCTACTACATTCTGGATAAAAAATTCATGGACAATTCCCGTACATTTAAGGACTTTTGTCGGTGTGATTACAGAATAATATTCCTGATTTGTCAAACTGTATTAATCTTGTTCTTCATTGTAGTTGTTCCAGAGAAAAAAGTAAATAATAATAGACAAAAATTAAATTTTTTTCAAAGAATCAAAATACCCAGGCCTAGGCCTAATTATTTAGGAGGGCCTATATAAACTGAGTAACAAACAATGAGGTTATAATATCAGCAAAGTCACAACAATATCATCATTCTAGTTCATAAGATTTAGATTGCTTAAAGCATACAACGCAATAAATAAATATGGGAAATAAAAAAAATTGAAACCTGAACGCCAACAATGTACAAAGATACAGAAAATGCAATGACATAATTTGAAACCAAGTAGGCCTATGTAGTGATAAAAAATTAATGCAAACAACAATGCTTGTGGTTTTGTCAATTGAAAGATAAAATATCCATAAAAAGGGGTTAACTTAACTTAACAAAATAAGACTGTAGATTAGTTACATGTTTTATATGAAACCATAAACAGTTTTATGGCACTAGGCAATGGCCAGCGGCAAATTGAATGTTCAAGTCGAAAGTACAAGTAAGAAGTGAAATTTAACAGCTATCATAAAACCATTATTTCCATGATAAAATATGTTTGGGATCTAATAATGATTACTCTAGTAATAAATAAAGAAGTTGTAAAGAAATAAAAGTGATACAACTTTTATGAGCTAAGCTACTACTGAGTAAACAGTTCTTGGAAGTACTTGATTGTCGTGATAAAATATTAATGGGTTTGAGACTGCTAATGGGGTTTTTATTGCATAATTACTCTAGTAATAAATTATGAAAATGTAAACAAACATCTGATAAACCTTTTATGTGCTCCTAACCAACTAGCAATCGATAAAATTATGGCCCATTAAAAATTTAAGGACATAGTCTGGCATTTAAGGACAATTCCCGTACATTTCATGGCCAGTAAAAAATTAAGTACAATTCCCGGTTTTCCCGGATTTCCCGGTTGGTAGACACCCTGTTGATATAACGATTTTTTTTTAATCCCCTAGAACTCTCCATAAGACACAATGTATATTTTACCTCTACATAACGAACAAACCATAACAATGACCTTGATTTAACGAATTTTTCGTGATTTCGGCTAAAATAAGACACCTCAATATAACGAATTTATCATTGTCAGAACCTCTACATTGCGAATTTAACCTCTGCACAACGAATTGTCTACGTCTTTCCCTCGATTAACAAATCCCCCACCCAATTATTGTTTTGGGAAAATCTGTTTCTTTATCAAATTAAATGGAAAGGTCACGTCATCGCTTGCGCTAACATTCGTCTGCTCCGTTTTACATCTTTGTCTGCTGTCGCTGCGCGCGCTATGTTGCAACTGAGAACTGGACTGATGACAACGTAATGTTTAGTAAGCTGTTATTGGGCGATATGGGATAACTATGGTGAATTGTACAATTTTTGGATAAAGAGAGAACTAATAAAAACAAAACCAAAGAAAAGAATAGCAACATCGTTATCTTAACATTCCTTTTACGAGTGTTTTTATTATCCTTAAGTTGGTTATGATTATACACTTTTATAGTGACTTATCTAATAATTTATTGTTTTCAATACGATTTGTTTCAACTAGCAACACCTATAGTTAATGATTATTATTGACATTCCTCTGTTGTGATAAATCAGTACTGTACTGTAAGTAGCCTACCGGCCTATCACGAGTAGTAGCTTACAAAACTTTCTACTGTTTTGTTTTGTTCTTTACATAGTTTATGACTACGCAATACAGTGTTTGGCTAGGTTTTAGGAGGGTTAGAACAAGCTGTGATTTTAAACTTACAGTTTTTAACCTGTACCAAGGTCAATGCCATTGTCATGATTGCGCAATATTCAAGATCCCTCCCCTTTATTTTGCCAGATAATTTAGGTTCTACTGTACAATGTAAACACTGTACTGTAAAGTATTGTAGCCTATGCTACTTTAATTGTATTTTAATGAGGTCAAATCCCGACCTATATTGACCGACGCTGGTTCTGAACCTCGTCTTAGCGAAATTCCTACAAACCTAACCTCTATATAACGAACCTCGTTTTAACAAAATCCTTGATATAACGAATATTCAGTTCGGTCCCTTCAGATTCGTTATACTGAGGTTGGACTGTATCATAAAACTTAAAAACTAATTTTGTATTTTTACAAAACTTTTCATCACAAATACCTTCATCATCCTCATTGTCATCATCTGTGTCATCTTCTTCTTCCTCCTCCTCTTCTTCTTCAGACTCCTCAGGGTTGCCACCTTGACTTTCCCGGAGAGCTTGCTGCAATACCAACATAAAAGCAGTTAAAAATAAATCATTCACAACACAGACGATTTTGAAATAAGCATAACATAATTTATTAAGGTTTGGAAATTGATTAGAAGTCATGAATAATATTGACATATTGTGACAAAAATGAGTGACAATATTTTATATAGTCATTCATAACCGGTGAGTAAAAAGTCCTTCATGAACCCAACTTAAATAAGTGAAAAATATCCAATCACGGAGATTTGGTGTTTTCAACATAATTTGTATGGGATAAAAGCTAGTCTGAAGTAATTTTTGTATCTTTCCAGGATAGATCATAAGTCTAAAAATGACTTCTGCAGAAAAATGTTGCAAGATAAAGCTACATGAACAGAATTTCTACAAACGGTTGACCAACCTGTCTTGCCAGAGCAACCTCGTTCACGCATGAGTCGTCTACCGAGGTAGGAACTGGCGAAATACCAAGGTCCACACACTTCTTGTAGTGAGCTTTCGACTTCATGTGTTTCGTCAGGTTTCCTTTGGTTTTAAAACTGAAATGTTCATACTCCTTTACAATTGCTACATTGGTCATCTCTGTTTGATTAAATATATTTACCATTGACTATTGGATACTGAAATTGTATTGATAGTCAAAGCTATTACCCTTACCCTCAAATATGTCACCCTCAAATATGTTAGCTATTACCCTCAAATATGCTTTAGCAGATTGCACCAGATAAGTAGTTATGCTGTAGTCTTCTTGGCAAAACCTAGATTCAGAACTAATGTACTGTCTTTTTTTAGGGTTCTCAGGATCTAAATCATTTGTTGTTCAAAGTGTTTACTTGAATTGCTAGTTTGATGGGATGATTTTATCAGTATTTTAAATATAAGTAAGACTATTAATGTAAAATTAACATAAAATAATACAGTAATCAATTGTTGCTTGTCAGTTTTAGTAAGGACATTATTTTCACAAATTTTAAAGTCACATTTAATAACAATCCCAAAAATGTTAATAGATCTCAATATTATATTGAGTTAAGTGTAAATATTGGTAAAAATTGACCCACCTGAATTTGCAGTGGACGCAAGTGAATGGCCGGACGTCTGTGTGTGTCCTTATGTGCTTTTTGAGCATTGAAGGTTTCTTACACCTAATTCCACATTCTTCACACACATATCTTCCTCGACCTGTAAATCATGCACTGGTCAAAAATCAATGTTCCATAAAAGGGTGTGTTAAGTATTCCAGTTGTGGTTTGATTAAAGTGTTACATCACTACATCATTATATCAATATTAGTGTTTGTAAATAGTTTTGAAATCAAATAAAAACAACCTTATTTTCCATTTGTCTATCAGAACGTTTATATCAAGGAGGTTTAAAATTTTAAATTTAATTTATCAAACATGTTATCCATTTTTATTACCCTGATAATTAGACTAATTCGTTAATTACAAGGCAAAAATGTGGTTCGAATTCCCCTATTAACCCCCTTAGGCCCCTTAGTTGCCTTTTGCTGTATTGGCTATTAATTAACATCTGTGTCTAAGGAATATGTCGGCCTTAGTCCCTTTCAAAACTTAAAGGTTGGGCCACTCATCCTGCACTCATCTCCATTAATTCTTGACTTAAAATACCTACATTGGTATGGTCGCCATTTCAAAGTAAAGTATTAAAGTCAATCAGTCAATTATTTAAGATAGAGACGCCACTATGTGCGTATTTTAACCCAAATATGAGTGAAGGATGAGAAAGTATTAATTTATTAGGTTAGTTTAACTCTTTGATTATAACACTAAAAGCTGGTTAATTTAATAGATTGACGTACTATTATCACAGGCTAAATAGCCTATTGTATTTTTTATTTTATCTTTGTATGGATTTCAAGCGTCTTATTATGTTGTAAGCGTTTATCTTACAACAAATGTCTTAAGTATTGGTTAATTGTGAGGTAAAATAAGATATGGGCTAACAAACACAGTCAGTAGAGTAGCAGTATATTGTATTTAACAAAATACAATCAATATTAGGACAAAACTAAAATGTAAAATAATACCCCAAGCCAACGTTCATGACTCCAGGCTCCAAAGTAACAAAATGTTTGCAGACCACGTAAGCAGTGTACGAAAATCACCGAGAAGTAAAATATTTCTCGGTGACGAAAGTAAGATTGCATAATAATCAAAGACCCACGTCTTAATTGCCACAATTAAGTCTATAGGGGGTTGGTTCGTTACCTTAGTTCGTTATCACTGAAGAGGCCTAACGAAATTAAACGATAACTGATAACAACATATTATTAATAACATAATTGTTATTACTTGTTCAATACAAATTGAATGATTGATAATACATTTAAATAATAATGAACTCAAATTTTTCGGCCCCACTTGCCTCACGGCCTCTCTGCTCACCGTTTCCCGCTCACCGGTCTGCGGGCCCCCGAGGCTCCCGGGCCCCTCCCCGCATTGCGGGCCCACCTGAGTAAGAACAAATCAAACACTTGGGAAGATCATGAACAATCCTCTGGATTCAATAACTATATTTCTTGACTAATGATGGATCTGTGATGTTTGGTGCAAATCAAAGAACTCTAGTCATTCATTTGTTGACTATGACTATTACATATGCCCATTATTATTGACAATTAATTTAATAATTCCTAGCCAAACCACCAATTTCAAATACGACGGCTTGGATTTTTAAAAGCTATCGTGCAAAAAGAATAAATTATAAGGGAGAAAGGAGCTATTGAACATGGGACATTACGATTTAGCTGGTTTTGGAGTAGGTAAAATGGATAGATAAATGGAAATTACATAATTACTTCATTGTGTTACTATTTAATAAAAACTTTCATTAGAGCTGGAGGAAAATGTGCATGGAACCCTCAGCTGATTGAACAATGGTGTACAAGATGTTAAGTGTTAACTCACCTCTGCCTCGTACATAGATGTAATCCTCATTTGACTCAAAACCTCCAGCAAATATCTTCACTCTTTTTGGCACAGCTTCAGAGGATTCTTCTTTCTGGAAAATAATATCATTTGTGTCATCAAATTTTATCTCAACTACCTGGTTAAATTATATTTCCATATTTGATATTGACTTACTATCACTAAGTCATAAAGTATGACAACCTACTTATTACTGACTTACTTTACTAAGGAAAAAAGTATGACAGGATTGTTACTGACTATGACCAGCTGGTTTTTATTAGAATTGTTCTGTAATATGCATTGTTAATGTTGTTCTATTCACTCACCATCTATCTATCCATACTGTATCTATATATATAAAATCCAATGTATGTTTGTTTGTATGTATGTATGTTTGTATGTCCTTTATGGACTCCGAAACCGCTCGACAGATTGTAATGAAACTTTCAGATATTATTAAGCATTATTCAAGGATGGTTTGTGTGAAGTTTGGTGCAGATCCGTCAAAAGGGCTCCGCCCTAGTGGCTCTGGAATTTTCCATGTTAACCTTATGAGTACTCATATTTAAATGTAATTAAAGAATCTTAACAGCTGGTTCAACTAATCAATTTGATTCTGTGATGCTCAATAGTATTAAAAAGTTAATAGGTTTACAACAGGGTGCAGCACTATTATTTTTTTCAATTTATGACAACAGCTAATTTGCAACCAAAAGGTGAGTGAGCGTAGCGAACAAACTTCAACCTGGAGGCGAGTTAGCATAGCGAACGAGCTAAGCTGTAGGCAAGTGAGCGCAGCGAACGAGCTCCAACCTAAAAGTGAGTGAGCGTAGCGAACGAACCTAAACCAGGACGTGATTGAGCCATGCGAACGAGCTCATCTTAAAAATGAACGAGCTTTTTACATATAACCACATTAGGACAGGAAGACGTCTGTCGGGCCAGCTAGTACTTAATACAATAAGGGTTTTCTCTCTTAAATCCCTTTTTCAACCGTTCACTTAACTGATTTTTTATGATTGAAGTGTCATTTTAAAGCTTATGATCTAGCTGTGTGACAAATTCTAACTAATTTCTTATAGCACTTCGCCTCTTAGCGTTTGATTAATTTATACAGTTTGCTTGAAACCAAATATCCAGTGAAGCTGACCAACTTTCTTTATAAAGGGTTTAAATGTGAATTGTAATTTAACAGCTGATCCTTCAGTTGAATGTTTGACCACTGTCTTTGTAAACAAGAGACAAAACATTTTTGAAAAAAAAAATTTTTGTTCCTTTTTTTACAAGTGTACAACCTGCTTAAGGTAGGTAAATCACTCTTTATGGTGTAGAACTTAAATTAAAAAAAAAGATTCATTGTGAATCAGTTGTTTTATTCACCTTATAAGTTATAATTGTCCTAAACAAACATAACTTTGAAAGGTAAGAGCTTGAAGGTATTACTTTGTTCATTTTGCCTCGGAAACAAGTTTTGGACCCTAACTGCGCAATTTGCTCACAGGTACCCTTTTCTATTTTATTTGTCTTTCTGTTTCATTAATCCTGCTGGGTAGGTTACATAATTCCAGGAGGGTTCATTGTTTGTAGCTTTAAAGTAAATTTAGAAATAATAGTATAATTAATCGTATTTGCTCCAGTAGTGTTTGAAGTAATTATTTAAGTCTACAGATATATGTTGAAGATGAAATCCAGTGATTTTAGGAGTACAAGATTATATGGAGGGGGGGGAAGAATATGGAGCTGTTGTGAAGTTTAATATATAAGCTGTATTTTTAGAAGAGGCTATATGAAAACACGAGTTCCTCATTATAATATGAAGTCACTAACAATTTTTGTTAAACAAATGATGATACATCTTTGGTGCCTAATACTTTTAGAAACAGGGAATGTGCTGAATAAATCACTGTAAATTCCTAATTGTCTAATCTAAATGAGTATCTCTTCACAATTTTAAAGTTCCTACTTGCTTTTGTTTCTATGAATTGTTATCCATTTTGAGATTAAGTCTGCAATTACTGGCATGACTCATTTCCTGACAGTGTTAGGGGATGTTTTGTTACCAACTCATATTGTGATATCAAAATTTTATCTAGCCAATAACACAAAGCTGTGACTATTATAATATCTCGATAAATTAAGTATTCTATCCTCTTTGTTGTTTTGTAATCTTAAAAGTTTTTAAACAATTGATTGGCTTGGGGTTTCCGTCTTGTTTTTATTGAGTGTACTTGCAATTTATTTGCTGGATTGGAGTTTATATAAATATTTTATTTCTTTGTAAAATCCTATTCCCTAATTTACTTACATTTTGATACTGTAAGCTTATAATAGTAGTGTATTTACTATGTAAATGCATTATATAAAAAAATGTGTGAAAACATTAATTTGTGAAGCCTATATTATAAATTGATGGCTAAAATGTCTTCTGCCTCCATTCAAGCATGACCACTATCACAAAGTCCTGTCTGGCTAAAGTTCGTGAATGTGTACTTCTAGCATTATATGTCTTCACTCAGAAGATTGGATTCCGTTGTGTGGTTTTTGTCTGCTGTGGAGAGCATCCTTCTGTTTAATAGCACGAAATATGTGAATGGGAACCTCCGATAGTTAGGGACTGGTATACACTTGGAGACAAAGCCCTTTTTCCTCCAATTAGCACAATTAACCGTATCGGTTTGGAACACATCTTGGCAATGTAAAGTATATCCTCTACGTTCAGAAAAGACTTCTGATTGCCCACCAGAAAACAAGTATTGGCAATGCAAGCACATTTATAATCCCCTACGGCAAAACAGGAACACTCCCAGAGATCCTTTGTGTTCCCAGAGATCCCCTCCCAGAAGAGAGGGAAACACCTGGTTTGGCATGAAGAGAAAAAGAGTGGGGTTTGTATGGCCCATAAAAGATAGAATATTACAAGCTGAGACTGTACATAGTAAGAGGTAGTCTCAGCTCTTAAGAACTGCGAGTTGAAGGATCTCACAGTTTAGCTAGGTAATCCAAGTTTTCCGGCTCCCTTAAGCAAGGGGTCTATGCTCCCTATAATAGTCAAAAACCAACTACCTCTATAACACCTATGATGTATCAAACATTTAAAAACTTAACATGATTTTTTATTCATTTGAATAAGGTTGCCAGTTTGATCCTGAGTAATAATTACAGACACATTTTTAATGGTTTGAAACTTGAAGCAGCTGTTCTTGGTCATTGGACTTGAAATAAAATGGTCCTGGCTAATAAATCAGCTGATCGTAGTCAGTAACAAAGCCATTCAACACTCATCCTTCAGCCATCTTTGCCTTACACACCATGGTATGGTGTCCTACCTACGAAATATTATCTTCTATTTAACTTAAGCCTGCTACCAATATTTGTCAAACAGTATAGAATAGGGCCTATGTATACAAAGTAGTTGTTAAGTAGTTAAGTAGAGATTGTTTACAAACCAAGATAGGTAAGAAAAACAACTTATCAATACTATTGTTTTAATCTAATAATTGTTTCTATACAAAACACTTAATTCTTTAAATAATAATATTTTAATATCAAAAAATAGGAACTTTGAGGTGCTGGATTGATTCTTATACTAGAGGTGCTAAATTATTAAATCTAAACTAAATTACAAGGTCTAACTAAGTTAATATATTTTATGCTAAGTTTGAAGTAAAGCTGACTAACACATTTCCTGTTTTTATAGAAATTTGTGTTCTTCTTTTACACACTCTACTAATTAGGCTACATATTATAATTCCTGATTTTTTCAACACTGTCATCAAGTATTGTAGAAACTACATAAACCCATGAGTTATTTTTTATGATATGATTGAAGATTTGCAAGATGATTTTATCATCAACATTTATATTAATATCCTCATTATCCATTTCCCTATCAAACGTGTATTGACGTTCTCTTGTAGGGATGAATACTCTAAGACAACTACTATTCAAAACTATTTATACTTCAATCCAACAGACAACTTTAAAAAGTGAACGAATACAATTTTCAGTTTACAAGAGATTTTAGTCAAATTTGTTTTGAATCTGACATATTTTAATTTGTTTTCAGTCACTGGGTTATTCAATCGTAACAATGGACTGGTCAGCTTACATCAGTTGGTTGTTGACTAGCCAGCCAGTAACTGGAGTGAGTGACCACTTCGCCGGGCTGTGACTGCGCCAGGGTGTAGGTCGCAGGTCGGTGCCGAGAGTCATACAGCGCCATCACACCACCAGGGTCCAGTCCGAAGGGGTTAGGATCAGCATCTGAACACACCTACCAAGCAAATGGTGATGTGAGATTTATTTTGTAACCACAAGATGTTGGGAATTATGATTAGTTGGTCATGAAAAAAAACAAATTTATACATTCTAGAAACATTCTGAACTCTGGATACTGAAGCAGACATCCCATCTATAGCGACCAGCTGTGGCCAATTTTTTTACTAAAAAAGAAAATAGTTGCAGAACATATTTTCACCCTTAGTGTTTGTTACTGAGATAGGTGTGAAATAAAATATGTTTACCTCATTAAAAAAAAAGCTTATTTGACAGAAACCAGTAGGTATTTACATCATCACACTCTAACGGTGATCCAATTCAACTATGTATTTTTTATTTTAAAACTGGCGACAACTTCAACATGAGGATGGAATGTCTATCCATAATCAAAGGTTCTGCTGAAATTATTTTTGATATTATTTTTGATTAATAAGACAATGTTACCAATGAAAATAATCCTTAACATATCAAATATTACGGATTTTAAGACCAACCAACTAAGTATGAGACCTTTGTATTATTTTTCATGTATTAATATTTTGTGCAACAACTATAAAACCTATACTAAATAGTTTAATAGAAATATTATTTAAAAAATACTAGTGTTTCTGTTGCTCGGATTTGATTAATTACTAAGTATTAGAGGCGTTATTTTAAAACAAATAACAGTCATAATTTCTTATGACTTTAAAAGATTTGACTCAAAGATGATGGAAATACTCAAGATGTGCATACCAGATCGATATAATCAACATTTCTTGTAAATATCTCATTATTTATTTAAAGCTGATCTTGTTTTTTTAGTGTTTTCTACAAATAGCCTTACTTATAGCACATTAGGTTGTCCATAATAACAATAAAAAAAAAAAAAACATTTCTATTTCTTCTCCTTGGTGGTGTTCTATGACTATTCTATGTTTCCATAGTTTGCAAATCGGCTCTTTCAATGATTACTAAGAAATGCAGCACAGTGTTAATTCAGTTTTCTTTTTAGTATATCAAAATTATCCAGGCTCTGTCGCTTTTTCCCATTGTAATATTTACGCCAACCCTAATTCAAATAGTAAATATTTCATTTCAACCAAGTCAGTAAATGTTTGTAGCAAACTGTCAAATTAGCAAACTTATTGACTGTTTACAATTAACATATGTTCTTCTTCTTACTTTTAATTTCTGACAACAGCTGGAGTTTCATTACAATGTTTGTTTCCCATCTTAATCTTATGGAGAAATACAAAACTTTAAAGTGCCCCAGGGCCTCACTAATTATTCCCCTGAAAAAAAGTTTCCTGCACAACTTCACGTTACGCTCTTTCCAATGACACCAAAAACATGTCAATCGGTTCAGTAGTTTCGGAGGAGTAATTGTCACAAAAAACCTGCTTGCGTATTCAATAAGTACTATAGATTTTAATGATACTAGTAATCTTAGAAGTGATATAAATACAAAATAGATTTAAGTAAATGTCCTCGGTATTGGTTTTTCCAGTGACATGTCTAACTACTCAACAACTCTTCAAAAAACTACAATATTTCCTAGACTTTTCCACAAAAACAAAGCAAAACTCACCTTCCAGTTAGAGTACATAGAGACTTTGTTATGTTCCGGAGTCAGAGGGACGTAGATGGGCTGCGGCTTGTTGAGGGTACAGAAGAACATCCGTGTGGAACATTTGAGGCCCAGGTAGGTGTACGCGTGGCCGTTGAGGTACAACTGTCCGTACGACTTCCTCGGCCGAGGCGTCTCCGGGCTAACCAGTGACAACACCGGCGTACCCAGGGGATGTCGCTTTGGTACAAATGTCCCGGGTTTAAGTGGCAATGAGGTCGGCCGCAGGAACTTCTTCTCTGGACTAGATTCATTTTCATCCTCTGGATGAGACTGGAAACAAGTTTGACTTATTAGCGTTAATTTTAGAACATTATTATTTGTGTTCTGTTAGAAATTATGAGAGTTTGTAGATTTTGTTAAAATTTGAAGAGTTCATATTGTGTTGTCTATTGGATTCAATAACAAAAAGAAATGGATTTAGTTTACCATACTTTAAAATACAGGATTATTCATAAAGAAGAATGGTGCAAACCTATGGTTTGGTGCAAAACGGACGTACTAACCGTTTAGTTTTGCACTATTCTTTTTGAATGGCCCTGTATATACAAAGACTTATTCTGTATACGTTTGAATCTTAAAAGTGGGATGATTACTGGAATGAACAGTTATAAAAATTAAAACAGACAATTCATTTTGAGAGGTCCTAAGAAAACACTGGCAACATAAGCAGCACAATATATATTTTTTTAACCCCATTAGAATTGTTTTTTATAAAGAAATGTTCCAAACCCAGGTCTCAATTCACCTGGAATAGGCCTGTTGAACCTGTAGTCTAAAAAGTCATCATTGTGATTAAGGGGTGTATTATGAGGGATCAAAATCCTGTGTTTATGCTGATCAAAGTATGCATTGTTTACTTTAATATACCAATTACTTAAATTATCATTCTTTAAACAAAAAAGATATTAAAATGATGATTACCATTTGAGGGCGTTTGGGTGCACTGGAACCAGGTGAATGATTTTCATCCAGTGATCTCTTACGGATGTTGGTAGCAGTGCTTTGGTCAACTGGACTGTCCATGGTCTCATTGTTCACTTGAATCTTAGGAATATTCAACAATGATGGTTTAGTCACCCCTTGAGCTTTTTCAGTTTTTGGGATTTTTGAAAACTGTTCCTGTTGGCTACTGGATTTTGATTCTGACATTCTGGGGTATTTTTTATCTGATTCTAATTTAGGAGAGTAAACTGGCACATTAGGATTTGGCAAGAGACTGTGAGGTCCCGGCATTCCTGGAACATAAGGGATTTCTTTTCCTCCATGCAATATTGTGACGATCCCACTAGAATATTGGCTTGGAATTCCAACACCAGGAGAGCTGGGCGGAAGAAGGTTGGCTGTAGGGAGGGTGAGAGGGTTGTAGGCAGTTATGTTGGTCAGAGGATTGATAACAGCTGACTCCGGCAGGATGGAGGTGAAGGGGATGTACGGGAGTTGAACAGGAGGAGTTATGCCTTTGGGGATAGCCGGTATCACCAGCTTGTTCTGTTCTTGGAACCCTTGCACTTGGGCAGCAGAAGAGGAGATGACACTTCTAGAGGTAGGAGCTTGACGAGGAGACAGCTGTTCTTCTGTCTTGTGGGGTACTTGCACAATCGACCCACCAGAATGCAGTCCTTGCTTGGCAATCGTCACCACCACGTTGTTATCCGGATCGTTTTCCTCTTTTATAAAATTTTTCCCTAGGTGAGATGATATTTGTAATGGGATATCTGATGGCTTGGAGGGACCTCTATTTGTCGGTTCAATTCTTATGGTTTTTGCTTCGCCTCCTGGACTATCTAATATCTTCACTTCTCCACCAAACATTTGTAAATTTGAACGCATCGGGCACTTGGAAAGCTCTTCCAATGATCTCAGAGTGGTGGCTGATATGACCCTGGTTTCTGGAGTGCCGGGTTCAAATCTTCTTTTCTTCAGCAGTGTAGGGCTTGTTTCAGAAGACAGGGGACTCTTCGTGCGATAGCTGTCGACCAGAGGTGTGCTACCCAGTAAAGGTCCTGGGGATGGTTGAGACGGCGTGATCAGCATTGGTCCGTCTTTGTTTTTTCTGTAAGATGGAGAGTTCATGCCATGAGAGTCTCTATGAGGAGACGGACTATTGTGAGACAATCTGGATGATGCTTCGTTACCTTTACAATGATATAGTTGATGCATTTCTAGGTGCTCGGCACTACGATAAGCGATGGGATCCTTGCATAAATGGCACAAAAATTGACTAGAAGGTGAATAAGCTCTTTCATCAGAGACAGGTGGAGTAAGTGACAAGGAAGGTTTTACATCTACTACTGAAGTTCCTAAAGGTTGACCGACAGAAGAACTGATTGTAGCACCACTCGCCCTCGCCTTTAAGAGTAAGTCTTTTATAATAGAACCCTCAGGATTTTGGGGATTCCCAATAAATTCTTTTTTTATATCTAAATGATTTAACAACATAGCATCTGCCGCTTCAGTTAGACTCGAAGTTAATCTTAGGTAGTCTTTTGAAGAATGATTATTCAATTTGAGCGGAGTGGCAATAATTTTTTCTCGAAGAGGTTTAGTTGATTTTTCAGATATATCTTCGGAAAAACTCCTCTTGCGGTTATTCTGATCTTGAGCTCTTTGGTGGGAAGCGCTCTCTTTGTTGGTTGTTGTTAGATTCAACGGTTGAGCATCACAGATATCAGCTGTTGGAACATTAGAATACTTCAAAGGTGAGATCGCTGACTGGGGTCTGAGCAAAGCTAAAGCTAATTTTGAGTGTTTCGTCGTAGTTTTATCACCACAAACGTCTTCTGTACTTTCAACGACTACATGCCTCATGGCCTTCTTCATGTTAGTATCACAAGGAGTGAGTGACAAAGGAATTGGGCTCATAACAGAATTGCTATCGTTACTATTTGATCTCTGTAGATACTTTTTTGTCCAAAAGGGATCATTGGTTTCTACAATGGCTTGATTTTCACTTATAAGTTTACTGATATGACGATGAAGAAATTCTGGACTAGGAGACGAACCGCTTGTGAAAGGAGAAGGAGTGGAAGCGGGTACCACAGTGTTTGGGGTGGGGATCTTTAAATGCAGACGAGGAGGGGATCCTGTATTTTCTTTCTTCTCATCAAATTTCTCCAGGTCGTTTGGCGACTTCAACGGCCTCTCCATAAACCTATATTTCGGTTTATAAATAGATTTGGGCACTTCTTCCTTACTTTCCGGATCAGTGTCCACTCTAGAATTTACTGATGCCGCATTTGAAATATTTGAACTATCGTCTTCCTCCGAGGTGATCCCGTCTTCCCCGTCACACATGACCGGCACCTTCTCTCCGCTCTCCTCTAACTTACAAGCGTGCGCTCTTGAGCGGCAGTGTTTGTACAAGTTACTCTTAGTTTTAAAAGCGAAACCGCAAGGCAAACAGGGATAAGGTCGTTCGTTGGTATGAGCTCGGATATGTTTCTGAAGGACACTGGGCTTGGCGCAGGCCAGCTTGCAGTAGGAGCAGACGTAGCGGCCAGCGGGTGGAGAAGGGACTTTCTCACTGTCACTGGACGTCACCTCTGGCACTCTCTTGGCACGACTCCCGTTGAGCAGATTGTTAGACTCCTCAGGCAGCAGAGTACTTGCCATCTTCTTGAACTTCTTATGCAAGTACTTGCTGTGCAGCGCATCGCTGATGATGGAAGGTGGCTCTGACTTGATTGGTACTGTGTTCACCGTCATCTGGATTGCCTCTTCTTTCACAGAAATAGGGGGAATATCTGCACAAAAACAGAGAAATAACAAATTGTAAAAAGGAAAAGCATAAAATTAAAATGGTTTTAATATTTGTTTTCATAGGCTTTTAACTTTTTTTAAATATTAAAATGCTGTATGACCATTGGTTATTACAAGTTCCGTTGATGCAACTAAAAATGTATGCATTTGAAATACTTCGGTGTACCGGTATACTTTAATAAAATTTCAAGGGAAAACTAAACATAGAAACTAAAGTAGTGTTTGTTTTTTTGTGAAAATGAGGTTCTAAATAAAGTTATTTAATATGCCACATGCAATGAGGAATGTGAAGTGAAGTAGAATTTGTTTCTTTTTGAAAATAGAGTATCAATAATTTCCAAAGCCTGCCCCTCCATTGAAAAAGCTTATAGGGCTTCATGCCCCAAAGACGTTTATGAGAGATAATGACAAACAGTATAAATAACACTAGGGTAAAATTCACCAGATTCACTTTATTACAGACACTAGTTTGTTAGCTGTTTATTGATTACTTGATAAATGGAATGGATCCACAATGAGTTAGTACAATCATATTTTTGTGTGGAATCCCACAGGTTCTCTTGGTCATTTTTATAAGCCGATACCTACAATTTCAACTGTTCTACTTGATGTAAATAAACTTAATAGGCAATTACCTTCAAATACTGTGATGGATTATTCCATGAAGTTAAAAAATATCATTTCCTTAAACAAGATTAGGATGAGAGTAATCAGGGGTAGCTTGGCAATGGAAATTTAACTAATGATTTTTTGTAATAGCATTTTATAGGTAATATTTCCAAATTTTTCAGCAACACATGATGAGATCCATGATGTAAAAACATTTTATTTTTACCATTTACAGCACTAACATATTAATCAGTTCTTAATAGTAGAGTAATGGCTAAAAAATTTTAATTGTTTCAGATTTTTTTTTACCCTTAGAACTAGTATATTTAACTAGTATTAACTAGTTGTTGTCTGTTGATACTACTTTAAAAAACCATTATTATTCTCAAATTGAACATTTATGATTTTTGAATTTAAAATTCCTTTCAAAAATACTTAAAAAATATCCCTCGATACCTATATGAAATTGAATTTTACAAAAATTTAAATATCCATAATAACACTTTTGTTTACAAAATAGTTTTATGATTTAGTAAAAATCATCGTACAAAAACTCATCGTAAATACTCTTTACAAACTTGAAGCAAACATATTTCTGGGATGTACATAGACCTACTACTCATTCTTATATAAATAGAAAATTGTTAGACACACTGAGTAACAAAATACTGTAATTTCTGTTATGAATTCCAAAATAAGACTCACCATTATACAACTTGTTTTTGAGCGGAGCGGATCTGGATATGGCTTCTGGTTTCACACCTGAACAGAAAATGTAACGTTACTAAGACAGCCGCTTCAGTTACAGAGCTACTCATAGACTAACAGCTGTATGGTAGAACGGGGACTGATAACACTGATAAGGTAGGAGGAGGGGGGGAGGGGCTGCGTCACTGATACGTACGTCTGTCTTGTACAAACATCTAGTAGATGCGCAACTCTGCTTGGATTGTTTGACGCCTACGATATGTATACAACATGATTGGAGGAGCTGATAACAAAACGTGCAGAAGCAAATACGGTATAGCCTGTGTTGAAGGCTGTAACTTTTGTTCCGCGGTTGAAGGCTAATTTCTTCACATCACTTTTGTGCCGGAGGTCAGCAGGTAGACTTCGGAACCGGCCGAAATACCTGTTCTTCCGCGAGAGAGAGAGAGAGGGATGTACTTTCCCTCCCCCAAATCCTATTTTTCGCCCTCCTCCTAACTCTTTCTTTCTTGTGGGCTTTAAAACTCGTTAAATTATAATTTTCTACTTAACAAATATATCAATAATTTAACATAACCTAACTTAACCGAACATAGAGATGTCCGCGAAACAACAGCGATGCAGCCGGCCGCGAAATATAGCTGACCCCCGGAACAAAAGTGATGTAAGGAAATTAGCCTTCAACCGCGGAACAAAAGCGACACACGCGTGTTGAAACATCATAACCTATCAATCCAACCACTGACCTTTCGAGGAAATATAGGATCTTGAGTTGTACGATTTTACAATCAAGGTAGCTGATTCGTCTCCGAGAGGCAGGACCCAGATGACAGTTTTGTTATAAATCAGAAGAGACATTGTTTTGTTTATTATATAATCAACGGTAGTAACCATATTACATATAGTACCTATACATATTGGCAAGTTATTATCAAGAAGGCCATGAGGAAGACGCGGAGAATAGGCGAAGAGGACCGGCTCGCTGTCTTGGAAATTCTACAAGTGAGTACGGATCGCCATTTTTACTATCACTTTTTCTAAGTCCAATTAGCCTAGAAATTATCAAGTTAAATGCAATTACATTAACTGGCGACGAGTGTAAATTAAAGTATTTTACTTTGTGCGCGTGTGAAAGTCTTTTATTCGATTTACAAGAGAAAATTAAATTGTGTTCGACCAAAAGGAGTTTGGTTCAAACAGGCAAAGACGCCTTGCAGGAAAAATCTGGTCGAAAAAGAAGGAAAATTTTGATTTTTACTGGAATTCAAGCATTATTCCGAAGCTAAAAGTATTTTATATTTTGGAGAAAGGTATTTGGTTGTATATAAGTCTATTTTTTCCCAACTAGTTGGTTTTGTGATGGAGTAATGAACTTTTTAAAACTTCCAGACTCACGTCTAGGGTTGCCCCTTTTTAGGCCTAGGCCTATTGTCTTACTTCAGACACCATATGATAATCACGAAAAATGGCTTCGAAACAAATACTAGGGAAAATACAAGAGTTCAATAAAGACCAGGAGTCTTTTGAAAATTATATTGAAAGATTACAATTTTTCTTTAAAGTAAACTCAATTGAGGACAATGCTAAAGTTCCCCTTTTTATCTCCCTTATGGGACCAGATCTTTATAGCACGCTTAAAAATCTTTTATTGCCAAAGAAACCCGGTGAGGTTACATTTGACGTCATTGTTACGACTTTAACTTCATTCTTTTTGCCTAAGAAAAATAAGGCCTATGAACGTTTTGTCTTTAATAAGTGTGCACAGAAGGAGGGGGAGGCGGTGTCAGAGTTTGCCGTACAGCTAAAAAAACTTGCGTCCACCTGCGACTTCAAGGAGTTCTTGGATGATGCTCTCAGGGATAGGTTTTTGTGTGGCCTTCGTTCAAACGAGATTCAGAGTAGGCTATTATCCGAAGGTGATACTCTTACCTTTGACAAGGCATTACAGTTAGCCCTAGTTTTAGAAGATGCTTCTCGTAGTGTAAGGAGTTTGCACCCAGATTTATCAGACCGCACCATTTCTGAAATTAATTTTGTAAAGGCTCAGAGGCCTAGAGACCAATCAGGGGGGTTCAATCACAACTACAAAGGTCAACGCCAGAGATCGTGTTATTGCTGCGGGAAAAACCATGATTTTAAGAATTGTTTTTACAAGGATTTTATCTGTCATAACTGTAATAAGAAGGGGCATTTGTCCAAAATGTGTAGGCAGCCTTCAAGTAGACCTTTGGTAAAGGGCAAAATAAATCTCTGTTCGGAGAGCGATGAAGATGAATTAGCGGGAACTAAGTCGGCTACTGCGCCGGAATATGAGTTGTATAGTATAGGCCTAGCCTACACTGGTAGTAGTCATGGTTCAACACCTAAGAATTCTTTTACCGTAGAAATGTTAATCAATAGTTTACCTATCAAAATGCTTATTGACACTGGAGCAGTGGTTAGCATAATGCCAGAAGATGTTTTTGTTAATACCTTTAAGGAGGATAGGCCTAAGTTAACGAAAAGCAACATTTACCTTAAGACTTATACTGGACAGCGTTTAAGTGTTCTGGGCGAGTTTCAGGCGAGAGTCACAAATAATGACACAACGTTAGATCTGCCGATGGTGATCATCCGAAGCGAAACTCCAAACCAACCAGTGTTACTAGGCAGGAACTGGCTTAACAGGATCAAATTGGACTGGGGAAAACTGGTCAAGGATAATAACCTAGATGGAAGACAAGTGAAGGACAAGGACATGGTGGGCGTTGTAAACGGTAAGAATTTTCCAATAGATTCTACCATAAGGAGTTTGAAGGAAACTTTTGCGCCTGTTTTTGAAGTAGGTGTAGGGACTATAAAGGGAACAGAAGTAGAATTGGTTCTGAAAGAGAATGCTAAACCAATATTTTGTAAAGCTCGTAACATTCCGTTTGCCTTAAGAGGGGCTGTTGAGAAGGAAATCGAAAAACTTGTGGAAAATGAAGTAATCTATCCAGTTACGCAAACTGAGTGGAGTACACCAATTGTGGTGGTAGGGAAACCTAACAATGAAGTAAGAATATGTTGTGATTTTAAGGTTACATTGAACCCCTGGTTGAGAACCGATCATTATCCACTACCGACAACCGAGGATATTTTCTCAAACATATCCGGTGCAAAAGTTTTCACAAAAATTGATTTGAGTTCAGCATATAATCAAATCTGTGTTAGTCCAAGCTCCCAAGAGCTATTGACAATTAATACACCTAAGGGTTTATTCAGATATAAGAGACTCCCTTTTGGGATAACAAGTGCTGGCGCAATTTTCCAGTCAGTTATGGATAAAATTCTAGCAGGGATTGAAAATGTACACTGTTACCTGGATGATATCCTTATTACTTCTCAGTCTTTTGAAGATATGTACGAAAAGGTTAAGGAGGTTTTGTCCCGATTGCAACAGTACGGAGTGCGAATTAACGCAGGGAAAAGTGAATTTTTTAGGGACAGTCTTACATTTTTGGGACATCGTCTGGATGCAAGGGGAATATACCCCAGTGAGGAATTAACAGCAGATATTGTTAAGGCTCCTAGGCCAACCGATCTAACCCAACTGCGGTCATACATAGGCTTATTAAACTACTACGGGAAATTTCTCCCAAATTTGTCTACTCTGCTACACCCTTTATACAACTTGTTAAACAAGGGGGTCAAGTGGTCCTGGTCGGAAGAGTGTGAAAGAGCATTTCAAAAGAGTAAAGAGCTCCTTTTGACAAACAAGGTTCTCATACCCTTCAATCCGAAACTAGACATAGTTGTCATGGCGGATGCTAGTCCATATGGAGTAGGGGGGGTAATCTCACATCGGCTTCCTGACGGGTCCGAAAAACCCATAGCCTTTGGATCAAGAACACTATCAGTACATGAGGCTCGATACTCACAAATAGAGAAGGAAGCGCTCGCTTTAGTATTTGTTGTAAAAAAATTTCATACCTTCTTGTACGGTAGACGTTTTATCTTAGCAACGGATCACCGTCCTTTGACCTTTTTGCTTGGTCATAACAAGTCAATCCCTACTTTAGCAGCCGCCCGGATTCAGAGATGGGCTCTGACCCTAGCAGCTTATGATTACGAGCTGGTTTACCGAAAAGGTTCTGATATGTGTAATGCAGATGCAATGTCAAGACTGCCCTGTAATGTTGATTGCAACCCAGATGAAGTCGTAGCTTTCTTTTCTTCCATTGATGAAATGCCCATAACCTTCAAGGAGATTAGTCTCGCCACCCGCCACGACCCCGTCTTGTCTAAGGTGTTGGACTATACGTTGAATGGGTGGCCTAGCTATAACAACAACCCCCAATTGAAGCCATATTTCTCAAGGTCTACCGAATTGTCTGTTGAGCAGGATTGCTTACTCTGGGGAAGGAGAGTTGTGATACCGGCGCCGCATCGGAAGGAAGTTTTGGCACTCTTGCATAAGGAACATCCAGGGGAAAGTCGAATGAAAAATCTGGCCCGCAGTTACGTGTGGTGGCCCAACATGGATAATGACCTAGAGGAGATGGTTAAAAATTGTTTTATTTGTCAGTCCACTAGGAATTCGTTGCAGTTGGCCCCGTTACAACAGTGGTCGTGGCCCAAGCATTGCTGGCAGCGCATACACATTGATTTTGCCTCATTCCACAATAAGGAGTTTTTGATTATTATTGATAGCTTTTCAAAATGGATGGAGGTTTTCTACATGACGTCAATCACGTCAGCCAAGACAATCGAGAAACTCAGGACTTGTTTTTCTGCCTACGGTCTTCCGTCAACTTTGGTATCAGATGGTGGCCCTCAACTTAATTCAAAAGAGTTTGATGATTTTTTGAAAGCCAATGCTATCCTTCATGTGGTCACCCCACCGTACCACCCAGCTTCGAACGGCCTTGCTGAACGAGCGGTACAGACTACCAAAAAATCTTTTATCCGTCAGCTTTTACATGATGAGAAGTCCGGAGAACCTCGGGCTTTACAACATCGCATCGACAGTTTCCTCTTCGCCTATCGAAATACTCCGCATTCGACCACAGGAAGTACCCCAGCAGAATTATTCT